TTCAATGCAGATTCTAATGCTTCTGTCCATCTTATCATAGAATCGAATGCTTCCATCTGATTCAATGCAGATTCTAATGCTTCTATCCATCTTATCGTAGAATCGAATGCCTCTGTCTACATTAACATTACACCTAGATAAAAAAACGAATCTTAAATACGCTAAAATTGATCTGAAATATTCAATTTACATGTATAGTTGTTTTCGTTGAAGAAGCAATGAAGCGCATCAATAACCGAATTTCTTTTCAATAATTTACATCGCAGAATGCTTTTAGTAGAAATATAAATTCCAGAAATACGAAGTCATAAAGGCGAAAAGGTTTGATGGAGCGTTTAATTGATTATTGAAGCGCATTTGTCGATATGATCCTGAAATATTCTGCCAATAATAATGCTAAAACGACGATGAGACTGTTCTTACTATAATATTACCCGCTATATTACTCCTACTACAGCTATCATTATTATCACTGTTATCATTCTAACAGCAGATGAGTCAATTCTTTAAAATAACCGATCAATATACTTATTTCTTCAATCTATGTATAAGCAACAAGGTTTGTATGAATCATTCCAAAAGTTAAACAGAATTTTGTTTTGCTTATATTTTTTTAAATATCATTCCTACGAAACTTACTTTCTACTTTTTGTAGCACAATCCATTAGCACACTTTTGTATTAATTATGCAAATTCAACAATCATTGATTTATTCATACAATATAGTCAATAATTAAAGGATATTATAGGTATTGGTTTGTTGCTTAGGTGTTGGTCAACTGATTGTCGCTGCATTTTCGCTTGCCCAACATTTTGTTTCTATTGTACAATTTGGTAAAGTAAGTTTTAACAAACACCAAATTGCATTTAAGAAATTTGTAATTCTGAAAAATTTTCCCATTTTAAATTTATGCTAGCAAAAGCTTTTGAATTCGATTAATTTGATAATACATAAAGTAAGTAGACTAGATATCATCAAAGTTAGAAGATCAAAGTGTAAACAAAAAAAAAAGCCTGATTAGGGAAGGAAAGAGATGAAATTGTTTAACTTATCAGTGGGAAATAAAATAAACGATTTAATAGTAGTTTATTATTAAAACGACATTTTTTTTCTTTAGCAATTTGATGATATCAAAAAATAAATTTTTCGAAAAACAGAAGAAAGAATTTTTCACTTCACAAAGTACCAAAATTGCAAGCATCAATTATCCATTTTACTATAATTTATCGTTTGATATTTAGTACTGTCACTCTATCGATGACACATACTTACTCACTGATCACTAGTATTGTGACATTTTTATTTTTTTTAAAGATATTTAAATGCTCATTTAATGAGTCCATACATGGCAACAATGATCCTGGCAGGAACTTTCTCAGTTATGATACGATTATCTTTGATTTCGGTTTATTCCACGAACTTATTAAAGTATGGCATTGATAATTTCTTAATAAAAGAAAAAATGGGAAACTTTAACTTTCGAATGATTATATGATTATATTGATTACTTTACTGATTAGTAGATGAACGGACTGATTGACTGATCGGATAATAACTTCCTTTAATCATAGTTACGGGTAAATGGAAGAGGGTTAGCAAAATCATGTTTTGAAATGTTAATATCATGAATTTGAAACAAGAAAAAAAGAAAAAAAGGAAAGGAAAGAAAATCAAAATTTAACTTGATTTATAGTAATTTTAAGATTTTTTCATAGCAAAAAAGGATCTTCGAGAAATTCATCTTGGCATAATATTTAAGAGGCAACATAGATTTACCTTTTTGTTTTTTAATTTAAATTGATAATTTTGGAAGAAGAAGAAAAGTGATGATTTAAACAAGACAATTTTTAAGAAGAAGCAAAGATCAAAACTGAAAACGATATTTAAATTAATAAAATAATGGAAGAGTGATTGAGGCAAATTGAAATCAAAAAATATTTCTTTTAAACTTCCTTTAACACTCGAAAAAGATTTCTTTTCTAATTCTTTTTTTTCAACATAAATGAAAAATTTTTCCTAATGTAAGCATTTTAAAAGTAAATTGAAAAAAAATTGAAATTTCGAAATATTTCAAAAAATTCAAACTTCTTTATGTACATTAGTACGCATAAACTGAAAGTTGTATGTTTGTATACAATACCCAAAGTTAAATCCTTTCCTATCATACAATTAATTGTACGATTGTAAATTTGGAATAAATGAAAAAAGAAGTTGGAATAATTATTCATCTATTCGTAGACGGTAAATTTTCTTATTCTAAAATTTTCTTCATTCAAAAATTTAATTATTATCATTGAATTGATCCTGCTGCTGTAAATATTTTATTTTGAAATGAAAAGATCAGTTATCATTTCATTTCGATAGCAAATAATCCTCAAAATATTTCAAAAAAAAAGGAAAAAAATCATTTTTACCAATATGCTTTTTAGCAAAATTAATTTTTGGTTGATATCATTTATTCAAATAATTAAGCAAAAACAATTATTAGAGTTGAAAAATTTACAAACAAAATTTCATTTCTTAAAAATTTTAACTTTTTTTTCGCCATATTGGACTGAATACTAAAAATATACAAGATTGTTGTCTTTTTCAATGAAAAAGGAGGAGATTATGCATTTGAAGAACATTAATTAGTCTAATGATATCGGATTACAAGACAAATATTCCATCTTCGTAATAAATAAATAAAACTTTAAAATTTAAAACAATAAGTTACAGGTGCAACTTGTGCAGTAACTGATTGGGGCATCATTCGTACCATAACTAATTATAGTACCATTTGTACAGTAGCTGATTACAGTACAACTTGAACAGTAACTAATTACAAATAAAAAACAAGCAAGAAAAAAATGAATGAAAATTGAAATAATGAAATAATGAAATAATGAAATAACAATGAATAATAATGAATGAAAATAATAATGAAATAATAATGAATGAAAATTTGAGGTTGAAGAATGTGTAGCAAATTATGTAGACGGTGGTTACATGCGTTGCTTATGGTGTATTGGACAAATGGTAGCGCTAATTATAGCATTGTTCAGTATTTTGCTTATACCTAATGCGCATCCTGTTTATCTTTGGCCACTTCTTGTCGCTCAAAATGCTTATTGCTTCGGTTTGGTAATTTATTTTAAAAATAACAAATTTCTCTTTGATTTTATCCTTTTTTTTGAATTTTAAGAATTTTATAAATTAAAAATATTAAAATGTTACAAATCGCAAAAGAAGTCGCAAAAGAAGAATGGAAATTAGAAAGGAAAGAAATAATTCGCAACTTTAATTAAAGATTGATTTAATTTATCTATCTTTCTATTATATTCGCCTAAATTAAATGCTAATCAATTACATATGAAAGGAGATGAAGAGAAAGGTTATTAAAGAAAGCTATGAATCCGTAAAAAACTATTATAAAGCCTATAACTTATGAATTACTTTTAACTTATGCTAAGTTATCCATCCATAACAAACCCTTGAAAAGTACTGTAATAAAGTAATCTGAAAATTTACTATCCTGGTTTACTTTTAACTTAACTATAAATATGTTAAGTTATCCATCCATAACAAATCCTTGAAAAGTACTGTAATAAAGTAATCTAAAAATTTACTATCCTGATTTAATCATCCATATCAAATATGACAAAGTATCCGATAGCAATGAGTAATGTTGCATGAGACTTTTTGACTCTTTTCAAAACTTTTTTCTTTGAATAGATAGGATATGATGAAATGTATTGGTAACCGAATAATGTTATTATTTATAGTTCAAATGTGTTATCCCTTGGATAGATAGATGAACAGGTATTTTAAATGAATACACAATTAATTAACAACAAATACTTCTTCCTTTCTCTTTCCCTCCCTCTCTCTCCCTCTCTCTCTCTCTCTCCTCTCCTTCTCTTTGCACAATTATTACTGCATCGTTACTCCGTTTACTTTTATTAACAGTATATATTAAAACAAATAATACAAGATAATTTTTATTTTAAAGTTTAGATTAAATTAAATTAAGTAATTCAAATTTCAGGTAATTTTGACGATAGCAACAGCAGATAAACTTTTAACGAGCATTTTACACCCTGTTAACGGCCATTTAATACTACTTGTTGTTGCTTTTTTAACTGGTACTTCAGCAAATTACTTATTCGATTATATTTTATGGCATTATTATTGGTATCAGGAAACGGAATATATTAAACGAACAGGATTACCTGTTGTACCCTTCTGGATGTGAATAATAATAATAATAATAATAATAATAATAATAATAATAATAATAATAATAATAATAATAATAATAATAATAATAATAATAATAATAATAATAATAATAATAATAATAATAATAATAATAATAATAATAATAATAATAATAATAATAATAATAATAATAATAATAATAATAATAATAATAATAATAATAATAATAATAATAATAATAATAATAATAATAATAATAATAATAATAATAATAATAATAATAATAATAATAAT